CCACATGTTTAAGATATATTGTCCATTAGTTAATTCAATTACTGACAATCAGGAATTTATTAATATCTTGTAAACTGAAGCTAGTGCTCGTTCATCACATTATTATTATGACGGAACTTAATCCACCTGGAGGGTTTAGCATAACAATCCTTCATGAACTCACTTCGGGAACATCATCAAACTGTCGCACATGTTAACTGTAAATATTCTAACAACACATCGTACATGCAACACTATTACCCAAAACATCTAAAATATTGACCCAGCTAAATGAATCTCACCTTTTTGTGAATCAAAGTAATAGATATTACATGCACATGCATGTTTATATCTCACAAGTTAAGAGAACGCAGTAATTAACTGAGACTAAGTTTCTTTACGATAATCAGTATAAAACAAACTATTACTCTCAGGGATCTTGTTCAATACATAAATGTACTAGTAAAACTAATTAGTGAATATCAACTGTACTGTTAACACTACAACCGTTCTAATGGTTTATTCATTTGCATCTAAGTTGTGAACCAACAATTCTTGTACTGCAAGTAACTGATAAAATGATCTTCTGTCACCCGCTAATGAACCTTTTTATCTAAGTGCAATACAACAGAACATAGAACTTGTTTAATCAAATATAATTCTCATTCAACGAAGATAAAGTGTAATATCATCTAAAACAAAGATTTCAATATATAACAGCAACAGGGTGGGCCCAGGTGATTGGCCCAAAGAGCAAAAAGATCCAAAAGAAAAAAAGGTGGGGAGAGAGATGGGCTCATAACTTACCTGCGGCCAAACAAAAATCGTGCGGCTGATTAGCTTGCCAAGGACGAGAGGCCCAATAAAGCTTTGCACGTGAGTTTGCTGCAAGGATGGTGGCCCAAGTGACCCAAGCAAATCTCACCACTTGGATGTGGATTAGCCACGTCACCTTCCAGCCTTTCAAACCCTAACAAATGTCCACCATATAATAGGTTGTTGGAGATAAGGGGTTGACCAGCCAGATTCAAAGAGGAGGTGGCGGCGGGTAACCGTTGACTGGCTAAAAAAAGTTGATGAAGTTGCCAATGAATACATGCGGCCCGCCTGGCGTCGGCAAATCTATGAGGGGAGATCCGGATAACGAGAAGGTCGATGAGGCGTCGAGCTCCAGGAAGAGAGCCAAGAGGACGACGACCGCGTGGTGATCCTCTTCTTTTGAGGTGTCGACCCAAAGCCGACTGAAGTCATCCAGTGGCATGAACGGCAGGAGCACGAGTGACCGACTCCGTGTGCGCTGCTTGCCTGGAGTCGGATGTCGGCGAGGCTGAGGCTGCAAGCTCAGAGACTACGTGGAAGACCTTCTCGGCATCCGTTGTCGAATAAAACCGACGCCTATTGCCATAGCAAAGCCGGCACCTGCCAAGCTTGAGTTTGATGTTTCTTCACTTTTTTTTTCTAACTTCTGTAGTCTGTAGCACCAAGGGGGTGTGTCCGACGAGAGCCATGGTCGTGGGGGAGTTTGCCGGAGCCTGGGAGGTGGTCGCCGACAACAAGATGGAGGCTGCCGGAGAAGCCATCAAAGGAATAGGACTGAAAACT